AACTTCTCTCAAGGAAAAAAAAAAAAAAAAAAAGATAGGGATGCAACTCAATGCACAGGTCCTGAATTCAGTCCCTATTACCACAAAGAAAGGAGAGAAAGGAAATAAAAGATAGTTTTTTATATATCCATCTGTCTAGCTAGCTCTTTAGCTATCTCAGTGTCTATGTGTGTTTCACAAGTCAAAGAATGAATGAGAGTATCTAGGAAAGATCGGTAAAAGAGATCTATCTGGACTGTTTAATTCCTTTCCCTTCTGCCCTTGGCTGTGACGATCTTGCAACCATAATCGAGAAGCCAAGGGGACTACAGCGGCATCAGCTCTGCTGCTGCTGAGTGGCTAAAGCACTACCAGGGGCCACTTGCCTGCAGAATTAGTGGTCGGTGAGACATAAACCTCTGTTTGTGCCGCTCTTAGCCAGCTTTCTGTTATTTATAGCTGAATGTATTCCTAACCAATACAGTAAATTAGACTGGCAAGTCCAGAAAGTTCCAGTTGTTTGTGGGTGAATGTTTAAATGCAAGAAAGCTATCCTAGACCCACAAAGTTCCACTCTAAAATGGGAACCTAAAATTTTTTTAATAAAAAAATGACCCTAATAGCAATCAAATCAAATGTTTATTGTAATATCATTTTAGTGTTACCCTATTAAAAAGCATAGTTTGCCTAATTATTCACAATATATAATTTATTCTTTTTTGCATTTGAGCTAATTTGTAGGGGATTGTAGGGCCTGTTGTATAAGTGATAGGGTACATCTTCATAGGGCTTTGAAAGATTAATTGAGATAATCCATATATAGGGCCTAGGCCTATACCTGGCCTATCCTAAAGTACCTTATAAATGTTAATATGTTTTAATAATTAAAAATAATACAGACTTCAGCTTGGATGGTTAGTTTCTTCCTATCCTTCATATTACCATTAAAAAATTTGCTTCCTTAGGAGGCCCTCATCAGCTGTTTATTGAAAATGGAATTCTCAAATTTCTCATATTCTCCATCAAGCCCTTTCTCTTCATTACTCAGTTCTTTTGATTATTTGTTACATAACTCCCCATGAGAGTGAATTCCCATTGGCTGGCACAGATTCTATGTTCTCTGGACATTTACTGATTGAAAAAATGATCAAAAGCATCCCAGAAGCCGTAATAAGGGAATGCCATTGATATAGGAGAGGTAGTCATTTTTTCTGGTACAGTTTTGCCCTAATTTAAATAAAAGTGGAGGTTGAAAAAATTTTGCCCCTTTCTAGACCCCCTGCACACTCTTAGGAGGCCTAACGGGTTGTTATTGTTTCCATCTTCAAAGGCCAATTACAAGTTGTTAATAATATTTAGTGTGCACAATTCAATGAAGTGCCAACTGTTACCTTTATTTTGTTTTGTTTTGGTAGCGGGAATCGAACTCAGGTCCTTGAGCTTGCAAGGCAGGCAGCAGAACCGTTGAGCTAAATCCCCGGCCCGCAAAGTGTTACCTTTAGAAAAATACATTGCATTTAAGTAGAGATTTAAAATTCGGCTTAAAAACTTTTAAATGATAGCCTTTTTTTTGGGGGGGGTACTGGGGATTGAACTCAGGACCTTGTGCTTGTGAGGCAGGCATGGCACCACAGAGCTAAATCCCCGGGCTTTTTTTTTTTAATAATAGGTTTTTTAAAATTCAAGATTTAGACAAAATGTGCCCCTCCCCAAGGTTCTAGCATTTAAATTTTGAAATAGCCCTATAAAAATTGTTTGTATACTCAGCCACCTTATCTTTGACAAAGGAGCCAAATACCTTCACTGGAAGAAAGACAGCCTTAATAAATGGTGCTGGAAAAACTGGCTTCCATTTGCTGAACATTAAAACTAGACCCATATCTTTTACTATGCACTAAACTAAATTTGAAATGGATCAAAGATCTAAATATTAAAACAGAAACACTAAATCTTCTGGGAGATAGAATAGGTAGAACTCTGAAAAACATTGGTGTAAAGACTTTATGAACAAAACCCCAATCACACAGGAACCATCACAAAGACCTCATCTTATTAAAAAGCTTTTGCATAGCAAAAGTACCCATCAACAGAGTGAAGAAACAGCCCATAGTGTGGGAAAACATTTTTGCCAGCTATTCCTCAGACAAAGGATCAATATCTAGAAGATAGAAAGAATGCAAAATATCAGACCCACCAAGTTTAAAGACCCAATCCAAACATGGGCATCTGAAATGAGCAGGCACTTTTCAGATGAAAAAGTAGAAGTGACAAATAAATATATGAGAAAAATGTCCAACATCACTGGTCATTCCAGAGATGCAACTTAATGCTGAGATCTCATCTCTCTCCAGAAAGAACAGCTAATATCAAGAAATCAGCCAATAACAAATGCTGGTGGGACTGTGGGGAAAAAGGAACCCTTCCCCACAGTTGGTGGGAGTTTAGACTGGTGCAGCTACTGTGGAAATTGGTGTAGAGTGCTCAAAAAACTAGGACTAGAGGTTCCTTTTGACCCACCTATTCCCTTCTTGATATCTTCGCAAAAGAATTAAAAGCTTCATACCACAGCAACATATCCAGGACAGCAGGGTTGGGCTCTGGTCAAAGCAGTGGGCTTTGGCTCCTAAGTTGGAAGTCCATCTTCCCTGCTTATTAGCCATGTCTCTTGGTCCTCTCTGGGACTCCCTGAGCCTCTGTGATTCATTGATGAGAGGACAGGAACTACCAAGCCTCTCTTCCTGGGCAGTGGCTGGTACACTGGAGGTGCCTGCTGACTATGATTTACTGCTGTCTTTCTGGAAGATGCCATGATGTCTCTACTTGTGTTGGTCATTAAGGTGGGGGTGTAGGGTATTTTTCTTTGACACAGTTGCCCCTTGGTCTGGGAAATTTTTTGAAGATCCTTTTTCTAATGCCATGACATTCATACGTGAATTACATAGTGGAGGTTGCAGAATTTCTGTGTAGGAGAGGCAAATGGGTTGCCATTTTGAAAAAGATAATAGGTGATGGCAGAGGGGGTGGGGTGAACAACCATGGTTTTCTAGTCAGCATAGCCTTTGCTTAGGTGATCATTCATTGGTCCAAGTTGAATGTGGTTGCACAGCTCAGGTTTTAGTGAGTTGTGGGGATTATGGGAATCTGTGCATCGATCTTCTGCATATATTTGCATAGCAAGCCCCCATTTTTATTTGTAGTTTGTGGGGTAGTTTAAGGAATTGTGGGAATTTGTTGCCTGTTTTCTAGATTTACTTACATGACAAGCACCAACTTTTACTTGGATTGTATATTTATAAGTGGGGTGGGAGGGACTTCTGAGACTTATACCTAACCTTAATCCAACCCCTGACCCTAACCATCAGACCCGCACTCCAATACGGAGGTAAATTCCAACGCTATCCCTAACCCTAACCCTAACCCTAACCCTAAGTGGGGACTGAATGCTCTGTAGGCCTTGGGAAGGCTTATGGACATGGACTTGTGTGCTTGATACTACTCCAGACCTCTTTGGGGCTCATAGTCACCATGGGCTCTCCTGTGTGATGAATCTGACTGGGATTAATTTGGTGTGGAGGACAGGAAGCGTATTTCAGGCCTGGGTTACAGAACAAATGTTTGTTCTATTTGTCCTATTTGGCCTTTTTCAAAGGGCACAGTGGTCAATGGTGGTGTCAACACTGGTCTCTTCCTCCCCTCCACTTCCAGATAGCCATACCATGGGTGACCAGTCAGGAAGGATGAACCTGGGGTGAGTCAGTACAGGTTTATGTGGACCTCGGGTTCAAGCCACACGCCAGTTGGGCTTCATCACGTGTAATAGGGGTCCCGGAGTGCTGATTATCCCACCTTCAATCTTCAACTATAATGGAGTCCATTTGTGTTTCTTTAATGAGTGATATTCAACATCTTCTGAGATACTAGTTTCATGTATTTTTCAGTAAGTTGCATGTTTACAACTCCTATTTTCTGATGGTTTTGCTTATTTATAAGAACTCTCCTTCCAGAAATCAATCCATTGTTGCAGATTTTTGCCCACCCCCTGTATTTTTAATGTTAATTTTTATTTTTGTAGTCATCCCTATCCCCTTCCGGCTTTTGAGTCTAAGTAATATTTAGAGATGTCTTCCACAAACCAAGATCTTAATTGCAAAAACAGCCATTTAGAAATAATACCCTTAAAATTTAGGGGTATTTGATAGACCCACATCTAATTTATTCTGGTGTTTGGTATGAAGTAGGGATTCGCTTCAACTTTTCCCAAAATGGCAAGCCTGGTGTCTTAATACCATTTTCTAATAACTCCACTGATTGAAAATACCATACTTATAAATTTACCCACATAATTTAGTCCACATCCTCTATGAAAAACCCAGCACTTTTCTGAGGGACACCAGGTAAACAGAGGCACACTGGGTGATGACGTGACAGCGTGAAGCTGCAGATGCGGAAAGAGCAGCAGTGACCAACACAGCACTCTCCGTGCAAGGGTAAGGGTGGGCTTCGCACGGTATCCCAAAGATGAGGTCGCCAAGAAGCACACAGTGCCAGGGCTTGAGGCCACCTTATAATCCTGGGGCCTGTACCTCAACAGGGGCCCTTTCAGCTCTGCTCTGAGGACCAGGTAGAACCCAGGAGCCGTGGGAATTAGCTTGGGAGCCGCGAATAACAAGAGCATCACACCGTTCTTTGCTCACATTTAATTTTTATTGATTTTTTTAATGCTGCACAACACAATATTTATTTCATTTGTTTCATTTTTTGTTTCATTTATTTCATTTATTTCATTTATTTATTTATTTATTTCTGTTTGCTGCTGTTATTTTAGTTACTGAAAGTGAAGGGAACTTTTGTGGCCTTTTTCTTTTTCTGTAGGCCGCCTTAAGCTGTCTAAATTTGGAACATCTAAGCAAGCTGAAGGGAAAAAGGGGTATCGCAAAAATCACTGGGGGGAAAAGGAAAGGTTGCTTTGTTAATCATGCCCTATGGTGGGTGATTAACTGCTTGTACAATTATGTTTCACTTTTAATTAGTTGCGCTTAAGGCTTTAATTAAATTTAGGTTCCCTTCTCAGAGCAGCTCGTACTGACGAAGGTGCATGCGCTGGATGATGTCGCGGCAGTCGTTGAACACACGGCGAATGTTCTCGGTGTCCACAGCGCAGGTAAAGTGAGGATAGCAATAGTGGCGCCCATCTCCACTAGCAGTGCTGATTCTCTGTGGACAGAGAGGCAAGTTTTGGTCAGGGACTCGGCCCAGGACCTCCACAGTCAGCCCCCCAGGGACGAGTGGGGACCCACCACCAGTGTTAGGTAGGGCACAGCCAAGTCACAGGGCACCAGTGGCCGCAGTGCATGTGGGATGCTGGGGAGATAAAACTGCAGGACTGGATAGTTCATTCCCTAAGTTCAGAAGTCAGTTTACACTTGTAAGAAAAAAGTTTCTGATTCTACTCACCAGAAACTCATCTCGAATGAAGTACTTGGCCCGGGTCACGCGTGGGTCCTCTCCGGGCTCGGGAGTAGCTACAAAAAAAAGTAAATATTTTATGAGCTGAGGTAAAGATTAGAGCAGAGCGGGTGCTAACATCACTGCAGCTCCTTATCTTCTCAGAATTCTTGGTATTTCCATATGAAAATGAGTGGAAAGACATTTTTCTGTCTTCCCCTATAGATTTTTTTGGGGGG